ACTTGATCTGTTCTCCACAACCTTTTCTGCCAGAAGATTATTTTATGTCTGCAATTTATGCTTGTTTCCACTTTTTATATTGTCTTATTGAAGAAAGCACAAAAAAATCAAACTAAAGTTAAGCCTGTTTAGAGAATATGAAAGAAATTTTGATGCCACATTGAGGTTGTGGCTACTTGTAAGTAAGGGTAACTGCATCTGGATGTGTTTTTATTATACAATTCTACATGAATCTTTGGATGCAGTGAAATTCAGATTGCAGCAAAATCACGTATACATTCTTTTCAGCTAAAACACACTAGGTGAATTTTCTAAACTTCCATGGTTTACATATTAATATATGACTACCAAGATGGAGCAATCCATGGATGGACTTTTGAATAAAATCAAATATTTGATACCGCTTCCTTCAAGGAATGAAGAATGTCAGGCAGGTAGGTAAGAACCACTCCTACATTTATTTCTAGCTCCTGAAGCCAACTGCAGCCTTGGAGCCATGGGCTGTATTTGACTGTATATTACAGGTTGGCCAGACTGATTGCCATCAGGTCAGGCAAAACTGCCTTTTATGGTGTAGTCTGCCAGCTTCAGACATATGCTGTGTTGTTGTTATTGGCTAGACTATTTATTAGACTATTGTTGGACTATTTTTTATCAAATGCTTTACCCCACGCCTGTTTGTATTGGGAGCTCTGGACCAATAGTGTCTCTCCTAGTGACAGAAATATGAACATCTGTGGATTACACAGCCTCATCCTTCTCTACAATATCCCAGCCCATCCGAAATGCTATATTATGAATTAAATAAATATATATGTATTCATGAATTCTTGGTTGTCTCTTGCTGGAGTTTAATTGGGGTAAGACTAAAAGAAAGATGGCCACAAATTCTCCTGGAATTGGGTAAGTGACTAGGGGAAACCAAGGATTATATAATAGGTAGTGATCTGGAGAGAAAGGACCCAGGGAGTCTGGAGCTCAAAATCCAGTCAAAAAGACTTTGATTTCCGGAGCACGATATAGTCAGGAAGACCAAAGAAATGAAGGTATAAGATTCAAAGAAACATGACACATTCAGTTTTAGAGATTGGAGCAGAGGGTGAAAATTAAAGACCAAATAAAATCCCAGTGCTGGAACCCATTGATTAAGATTAGGATAGGACCAGAAGCAAGTGAGCTGATTTACTGTTAAAACATGTGGCCTGCAGGAGGAGACTGGGAGGGTTAGGAGGTCCCTCAGGGCTGGAATTGAGCATATTTTAATCATATTTGTAGCGGCACTAAGACTAAAGGGATCATGTGAAGTGAATAAAGCAGGACAGTCAAGGGCAGCAGCTAGAGAAGTGACTTGAAACAGGTCATCAGACCAGGGGCCTATAAGAACTACAGCCCAAAGGCAAGAGGAGTAAAATATTAAAGGAGAAAAGAATTTGGAACATTGTGTGTTTAGTGGTTTAATTGAAGAGCAACCTAGGCAAATATCAAATATGGGATTATTACCCATAGCTAAGATTTTAATATATTTTTTTGTGTCTGACGATGTTTGGAAAGGCCATCTTCATTTAATGTGCCAGGACAAAACAGATACAGGATTCTTGATGTTTCCCTACCTGAAAAAATAGAGTTGGTCTCAGAGTTTCAGTGAATCTGAGCCTGTAGTTGGGAGGGAGGTGATCTCAGTTGTGATGGTTAGCAGTAACAGAGATCAAATAGGTTGTTACAAGGTTACTAGAAATGTATATAGCATGATAGCTAATGAGAATGACTCTCCTCTACAATGAATTTCCAAGAATAGAACATCAAGGTGGTTTTCCTCTACTGTTGGGCACAATACACAAATTACAATTGTGACTGATCTTGCCAGGTCATTCAAGCAGTTATTAACCACTAGTTATGTTCCTAGTACTCTTCTCATTTCTGTGGGGAGATATTAAGATGAAAAATATTCCTAACATTTATAATGGAGTACCCATCAATACTGCTTCTCAGATACTTTTACATCTATGAACTCAATGAATTACTAGTGGTAGTTGACAAAGGGAGCATTTAGTAGAGACACCAGAGTGCAAGTGGAAGCTCTTACCAAGATCTAGCATGGAAACTTGTACATAGTAGGTGCTTCATAAATGCTGGTTGAATAGAATTAGAATCTGATAAGCAGAATCACAAGTAGGCCACTTCATACATTGTGAAGTTACGTGAACTTACCAGCACCATGTGTATAAAACCTCTGAGGCACATATTCCTTGTCCAGGATTCCCATGACTGCTTCTTGCCATCGTTCCTTAAGGCCAGGCTCTTTTAAAGGCAACAATTAGAAGAATTAATAAATTAGCTACCAATAATGTGCTAATGGAGGAATATGGGAAAAATTCACATAGAAAACAAGACAGTTTTACTCAGAAAACAAGAACTATTAAGAAGAACCTTCTAGGGAAAATGTTTTTGTTGTCTGACTTTGGACTGACAAGTTGGGGAGGGCAAGCTTCAGATGTCCCAGTTTAGGAGGGTCAGCTGACAATGTCCTGGCAGGCTAAGCCCCTGCCAGGGGAAATATTTTGGACCAAGAGGACTCTTTCAAAGGGGATATAGATGTCAACTGCGTCTCAAAGCACAATGCCTGTGATCCTTCTAGAGCACAAGGGCTGGCCTTGTACACAGAATACAAAGTGGATCTGCTACTCTTCCAGCCAGATTAAAAGTCCCAGAAAATCGAATTTGGGTTTATTTTTCCTTTGATGTATAGTGATAAGAAAAAGCTACTATGATCAACACCTCTGTGTTCAACATAACTCCCTCAGTGATAAGGGAGGGTCATGAGATGGCCCAGAAATGTGAAATTCACAGGAAGCAGCTGCCAAGCACATATGGCAAGTCCACGTCCTGACTGACTTAGTAGGTAAAGATAAAATGAATCACTTTTACATTCAAACAGTTTATTATTTACACAGTGAAAGAAAAAGCAGTCAAAGATTCCAGCTCTGAATAGTCCTTGTCCCAAACAACCAAAAGGATGACACTGAAACACAAAGGACCAGAAGACTGCCAAGTGAGTTGTGGGATACCTCATTGCTAAGAAGCCAATTATAGACTGCGGCTAAGTGGCTTTATAGTCTGTAGCTCTATTCCGAGGGAAGTGGGTCAGGAAGTCTTGTACCTTATCAGAACCCAGGAGGTGGGAGGCGATGAAAAACTATCTCATGAAGCTTTCCAAGAGAGATAAGGAGGCAAGTGGGAAATGATCTTGAAGCAGCTCTTCTAAGGCCTCCCATCCCTTGTGCTCTGGAAGGATCACAGGCATTCTGCCAAGACCCAGATTAGCTGTGGTTCAAGCCTTTGCCTGAGGGACCATTGTAGATATTGCCAGGTGGCTAGGGTGCCAGGATAAAGCTATGCTCATACAGAGGTTAGCTGAAGGTCCAGGTAACTTCCTCAGGGGGAAGCAAAAGGAAGTAAAGTCAGGGTCTTTTGAAGTACCTCTTCTCTTCCTCCCTTCTGCTGAGCTTCCATTCATGTCCTTTCATTCTTCTCAGCATTTTGGGAGTTGGGGTGGGGATGGAGCAGAGATTAATTAATTAGGATATAAAATAATTAGGATATAAAATAAATTCAGGCTCTGAAAGATTCAGTACCAAGGCCAGAGAATTCCAAGGTCTGGGTCCTTTGCTATCTCTGGCTCTTAGTTTTTCAACTAGGAATGAAAGTGTATGAGTAATTTCTAAGGTCTCTTCTAGCCCTAACAATATGAATTACCATAAATGCAAATTTAGTGAATGTAGTGATAGGAGTCTGATGTGCATACCTACCCCAAGAATGTTGGGACATCAGGGCTGATCATCAGGAATCCTGCGACTGGGACAGAGAAATGGATGACTTTAGGACCATCAACAGAATCCCTTTGGGGGTGACTATCCTTCCCCATACACGCTTCACTTGGATCTCTCTTGCCAATCCTCTGCCACCATTACTTTTGAACTTTCTGCTTCAGCCTTCTTTCTCATCCTGCTTGATAACTGTACAAAATGCAAATACTGTGCTAGCTAGTGGTGTCTCTGTTTCAAATTTCAGGTCAGCCATCTGAGCGTCTTCAATGTGTACATGCAGAGAATTGCCAAATATATTCTACTTTCCAAGGACAGAGCAGGTCACTTGATATAGTAACTAACAGGGGTCCTGTGTGCTATCTTCTCCAATTATGGTCTTCCCAACCCAAGTTCCCACAAATACATCCCTTAAATGGCAGAGGAGAGAGTACTGGTGTAGCTACACACTCCAAGTTATCATTCCACCATTCATTTATTCACTCATTCAACAAGTATTTTATTGGTAGTCTCTTTGTGCCAGGTGCTGGAGTTCGGTGATGAATAAGACACATAATCCCTGCCATCATGAGACTCCTAATCTAGAGGGAAGACAGGGTATCAACGAATGATGGTTTTTTGAATCATAGGAGCTATCATTGATTGGGTGCTTACAGTGTGCCTGGCATTATGCTAAGCACTTGAGATGAAATGATTCTTTCAATCCTCCCAGCAACTCTATGAGATAAAGACTATTATTGGCTCCCTCAAACATGAAGAGTTAATCCCTGCGCCCATGCCCAGACCTGCAGATTCCTGTATGCCTGGTGAGCTGCCAGCTAGGGTCTTAGCCATGGCTGCTTTGGGCACGGAGTAAAGTTTAAGGCCCAGCACTGAGGAAATAAATGACCCAGTGCAGCAGCTTCTGAAGTCAGGGTTAACCCGGAAGGCCTTCTAGGTCTTTGCTAGACACCCCTAAAACTGCCCCCTGCGCGATTTTCCCATCCCCTTTTTCTCCCCTTTCCCTCCGGCACCCCACTGCCCTCCCTTTCCTGCCCAGCCCCTCCCTCCGGGCCGCCTCTTCCCTGAGTCATTTCCCCTTCTCCGCCCCAAAGATCTTGGCTTTCTCTTGGAATCCCTTCCCCTCTGGCAGGAAGTAGAGGAAAGGCAAACTGGCTTTGGGAACCAGGTGAGCGTTTTCCCCAGCGAGGATGAGAAACGCCTCCCCACACCCCCCTAACCCCCCCGAATTCGTAAGGACGGGAAATCCTGGGAGTTCCCTTGAGCCGAGCGTAGGAGGTGCCACGCCCCGCCTGGTGTCTCCTGGGATGTAGGGAGGGAAGCGGTGGTCCAGTTGGGCGGGCCTGTGGGGCTGCGACCCACTCCGGCGCAGTGAGCTCAGCGCGCGGGGGAGGGACCTCGCTGCGGCGAACATGGGGGTCGTGGAAAGGTCGCCTGCAGAAGCCAGCCGTTGGGAGGAGAGAGAGGAAAAAGCTCCGAGCGGTGCATGTGGAGGGTGCGTGCGCGTGCAAGTGGGGTGATACATGTAGTTAGAAGGCATACGTGTGTATGAAGGGGTGTAGAGAGGTGCGCGTATGAGGAGGCGAGCGTGCGCGGGAATACTTGTGGGCGTGTGGAGATGTGTGGGAGAGATGCGAAGATGTGATTTACACAGGTGCGGACGAAGGAATGTGCGAGTGGTGACCTGGAGATGCGTTCGAGTGTGGAGACTCACTGAGAAGCCCATGGGGGATGGGCTTGTGTGCACGTGGAGGTGTGTATGAGGGGATATAGATTTATTAATATGTATGCGTGCGCATGTAGTGCGTGCGTGCGTGGGGGTCCGTACGTGGGGGTGCGTGCGTGAGGGGGGGTGCGTGCGTTGGGTGGTGCGTGCGTGGTGGGGACGCGAGAGCGGGAAGGAAGGCTGAAGGAGTGGAACGCGGGAGCCGGGTGAGTGCGCAAGTAAGAGTAAAGATGTCCGGAAAAGCTCTTGGTGGCAGAGCTTAAAGTTAGGATTCTTAACCTCTTTTTGTTTTTCTTGAGGTGGGCTGTAGGTTGCACATATACCAGATTGAAAATCAGGAAAACTGTTAACCAACTGACCACCTCGTTTAAAAAAATGCCCGTGGTTTGCATGTAAGCACAAAGGGTTCGTGGACTCACTAATGGTCATCTGTAGACCCTAGATTATGGTTTAAAATGGGGAGAAAACCCAAATACATTATGGTGATATCCGCCATTATGTCTTTTGATTCTGTGAGAGAAGAAATGGAACAGCAGCTGTCCCCTGTCCTTGGGTTTGAGGCTAGGTTTGCTGCTTCTATTGGATTTGGTGCCAGCAAAGTGGGAGTGTAAAACGGGATCACTGCCCAGAGTAAGACTGCGGAAGGGTCCCTTGTGGCCTTCAGGATAAAGCTCAGCCCCTCTGTGGCGGATCACTAGCCACAGGTCTTGTAGGCTAGCTCCTTGATGAGGTGGGAAAGTAGAGATTTGTAGTTGCTTCCTTGGGTGTTTTCCGCCACTCCCCCTCGCCACGCCCCCAACGGCCTGTGAGTGGTGTCAGGGAGTATGAATTTAAGGTTGGGACTTTGCTGGGTAAATGAATAGAAAGGAGACCAGAAGGAGACCAGCAGATTTGGGTTCTGATCCCATCTTTACAATTAACTAACTGTCACATTAAGCAATTTTCTTGATCTTCTTGTCCATCACTTTTCTTATTTATTTATTTATTTATTGAGACTGAGTCTCACTCTGTTGCCCCGGCTGGAGCGCAGTGGCACAATCTCGGCTCACTGCAAACTACTCCTCCAGGATTCAAGCGATCCTCTTGTCTCAGCCTCTCAAATAGCTGGGATTACAGGTGTGCACCACTATGCCCGGCTAATTTTTGTATTTTTTTGTAGAGACGAGATCTGTCCATGTTGCCTAGACTGGTCTTGAGCTCCTGAACTCAAGTGATCCGCCTGCCTCAGCTTCCCAAAGTGCTGGGATTACAGATGTGAGGCACTGCACCCAGCCTCACTTTCCTCATTTATAAAATGGTAGCTCACGGGGTAGTTGGAAGTTTAAATAAGACTATAATAAATTCCCAGAACATGAGAAGTCTTTAATAAATGGCTGCATACCTAGGAATAAATAATATGTGTATATATTTTATATATGTGTGTGTATATATATTTGCAGAAAAGTTAAAAACATCTGAAAGAATGTCATAAACTGCTGATTTTTTTGGTTTCTTGTAGACATACCTAGTTGTGCTGTCAGCCAAAGCGAACCAAGTTCATCCTGTAAAGTCAGATGACTGAAGTAAGTGGGAATTTATTTGAAATTATTTGCAATGTTCAAGTAGATAATTATTAGTCCACCATCACCTCTCGCTTGGATTGCTGCCATGGTCTCCAAGTCTTCACATTTGCCTGCTTCCCTTGTTTTCATGCTCCATATTTCAGGCACAGTTATCTTTCCCTCTGAGAAGCAAAATAGCCTACTGGTTTGGAGTACAGACCTTGGACTCAGGCATGTCTCCTTCAGATCCCAATTGCACCCTGCTCCACCACTTTCTAGCTGTGTGACCTTGCACAAATTATTTCATTTCTTTTTTGGGGGATTTCAACATTTTAATTTCTTTTTAATATAAGTCACTTTTTTCAATCTAGGAAACAGACTCAAAGTAAGACAATCTAGTCCTCTGGAGATTCAGGCTTTCTATCTTTAGCAGAATGACATCATAATATAAGGTGCTAGCAATTGAGTTATAAACTCTAAATAATAACGTAATAAACTCTAAATAAGACAGTTATGTAATACATATTCATATGTAAAAACTTGTCAGGAGCTCTTGCCAGAGCGAGGATATGAAAAATAGAGCATGTTTTAATTACCAAATTGTAAGCTCAGTGAATATTTTTTGGGATGGGCCCATAAAATCTGGCCATTGTTATGTTAAACTTCTGTAAACTGCAGAATTCCTTAACCCTTAGTTAGCTTTGATTTTTGCTAAATATCCTGAGGCTGGGCACAGTCTCAATGTAACTCTTCTCCTAAGGGCTGAAGTGGGTGCTAGTCATCAAAGCTTGGAATGTCATTTTAGGAGCAACCCCTAGAAGTAATCCTGGTAAGCCCTAGAAGTAATCCTTTGGGTGCATAGTAGGCTCTGTGCAGGTGGTAAAATCTGAACAGGAATAGGAGAATTAATGATCAGGACTGGAACTGCCCAGTCTGCCCCCACCTTGCTGATGTAGCCAGAAGGTGAGCCTGTGATAATGAGAAAGGCACCAATCGAGAAAAAGCACAGTGGTAAGTGCAGTGGCCTTGTAAGGGATCTTAGGAGAGCTTTTCTAAACTGAAGGTCAATGTAGCCCTCACCTGTGCTGGAGAGCCTTGAGTATTTCACTTTATTACTGGGGATTCCAGCCAGGTTTGTGTGGGATGGCATCATAGCACACTGACACAGTTACAGTTGGAGTGCCATGCCAAGCTGCCAGTGGCAACACTTTGCTCACAGTTGACAGCAGGGGCACTCAAGACTCTGCCACCTAAATGCCACCCAGCCCACCCCAGCAAGGACCAGTGCCCTGGAAGTCTACTTCACTTCTTTTAGAATCTGTTTCCTTATCTGTAAAAGAAGACAATGCTGACAACCTCAAGGGTTTTGTGAGGGATTGCAGAGATAATGTATGTAATGTAGCCCACAGGAATTGCTCAATAAATGGTGGATTAAAAATGGTAAGGGCAGTGAAGTAGCCAGCAGGAAAGTGGTTGAAGTGATGCACCATGGCACCTAGACTGGGTAGGGATTGAAGCCATGAGGTGATAATGAGCTGGAAAATGGGAGAAAGGATGGGAGATCTTGATGAGAATAAAAAGTGGCTGTGAAATGACTCCTTGATCACATTTAAAAAAAAAAAAGAGAATGAGGAGTGGGTAGTCTGAGAACCAAGAAGTAATTGGAATAGGAGGTTGTAGCCAGAGATTAGGCTAGTAGAGTTCAGAAATTCCAAAGTGGAGCAGCTCCACGCTTACTGGGTGGTCTAGGAAACTAATGGTTAGCAATGGCATATAAAGTGGCATGTGGTCAGAGTTTGTTGAAGTAGAGGAGATCAAAGGGCAGTGAGGCTAGCATGTTCAGTGAGTCTAGCATGTTCAGTGAGTCATCCACAGACATTGATGTTGCTTACATGATGTTAGGGGTTGAAATGGAAAGGAAAATGGAGCCAGTGCCAAAGCCAAGGTCTATCCTAATTAAAGGATGGCAGTCATTTATTTCACAAATATTTACTGACCTTTAAAACAGACAAGAATCCTGCTGTCATGGAGTTTACAGTCTAACAGGAGTAATAACAGAAATTAATGATTTTATCTATAAATAGAAAGCTGTAAACGGTGATAAGAGCTATGAATGAAAAATAAGTGTTCTTTAATTGTTATAATAGAAGGACCTCACCCTGCCTGGAACGTTAGGGAAGGCTTCCCTGAAGAAGTGATGAGGACTGAAAGATAAATTAGGGTAGATGGAGGTGGATGATGGGTAGGTAGAAGACATGTTCCAGGTAAAGGAAACAGCATGTGCAAAGACCTGAAGCTAGAACATGTATAGTAATTTGAAGAACTGAAAGATATCTCCTATGACTAGAGCATATTAAGTAATGCTGTAGCCGTAGGAGAGTGCTGAGGCTGGGTGGCAGACTCCCTTAAGGATTTGGGACTTTATACTACGAGCAATGGTAGTATTTGAATGACATGATCATAATTAAAAATAGGCCATTGTTCAACACCCGCCTATGAGTGAGAACATGCAGTGTTTGATTTTCTGCTCTTGTGTCAGTTTGCTGACACAGGGAGGGGAGCACTACACACTGGGGTCAGTTGGGGGGAAATGGGGGAGGGATGGGGGGGTGGGGAGTTGTGGAGAGATAGCATGGGGAGAAACACCAGATATAGGTGAAGGGGAGGAAGGCAGCAAATTACACTGCCATGTGTGTACCTATGCAACAATCTTGCATGTTCTTTACATGTACCCCAAAACCTAACCTAAAATGCAATTAAAAAAATAGGCCAGGCATGATGGTTTGCACCGGTAATCCTGGCATTTTGGGAGGCCAAAGTTGGTGGATCACTTAAGCCCAGGAGTTTGACACCAGCCTGGGCAACTTGGAAAAACCCCATCTTTATAAAAAATATAAAACATTAGCCAGGTGTGGTGGCACATACTACTACTGGTGGCACATCCCAGCTACTCGGGAAGCTGAGGTGAGAGGATCACCTGAACCTGGGGAAGTCGAGGCTGCAGTGAGCTGTGATCATGCCACTGCACTCCAGCCTGGGTGACAGAGTGAGACCCTGTATCAAAGAAAAACATCAAACACGTAAGTAAATAGGATAAATTGTGAAGGGTCAGTTTATGTGTATGTTAGTATAGGGAATTGTGTGTGTACGTGTATGTGTATACATAAAATATACATGTATAATATGTAAACACATATAATAGATGTATACATATATAATATATAAAAATGATACATAACATTTTACCACTTTAAAGAAGGTTGAATATACCATGGTTATATTCCAGTGTCCATACATAGACATCCAACTCATTCTTTTTAAAAAAATATTATTACTAATATAAATAGAGATGGGGTGTCACCATTTTGCCCAGGCTAATCTCGAACTCAAATATTATTACTAATACAAATAGAGATGGGGTGTCACCATTTTGCCCAGGCTAATCTCGAACTCCTGGGCACAACCAGTCCTCCCACCTCGGCCTCCCAAAGTGCTGGGATTACAGGTGTGAGCTACCAAACCCAGCCCAACTCATTCTTGAGCGTTGCAAAGTATTCCATGGTATGGATGTGTGATGACTTAAATTTAACTATTGCCCTATTGATGGACATTTAAGTCATCTCTAATTATATATTACTTTACAATGTGCACTGTTCACAATAGCAAAGACATGGAATCAACCCAAATTCCCATCAATGACAGACTGGACAAAGAAAATGTGATACATATACACTGTGGAGTGCTATGCAGCCAAAAAAAAAAAAAAACAGAGATCATGTGCTTTGCAGGAATATGATGCAGCTGGAGGTCATTATCCTTAGCAAATTAATGCAGGAACAGAAAACCAAATACCAAATGCTCACACTTATAAGTGGGAGCTAAATAATGAGAACCGATGGGCAGAAAGAGAGAAACAAGAAACAATGGGTACGACCTGAAGGAGGAGGGTAGGAAGAGGGAGAGGATCAGGAAAAATAACTATTAAGTATTATACTTAGTACCTGGATAACAAAATAATCTAAACCAAACCCCTGTGACACGAACTTACCTGTATAACAAACCTGCACTGCACATGTACCCCAAACCTAAAATAAAAGTTGAACAAAATTGCAATATACTGTCCTAGAAATTTTTTTCTCTAATATTATGTTTCAAATTTTATTTTTAAAATTGTACTAGGAATACACAAGGAATTACATGAGGAATGTATGAATATATTATTATAAAAACTTTAAAAATATAGAAATATGAACAATGAGAGCAAATGCTTATACAGGCCTTACTGTGCCCAGCAAAACTCTAAATGCTTTAAAGAGATTAGCACGTTTACTCTTTACAACAATCCATGAGATAGGTACTGTTATTCTTCCATTTTACAGATAGGGACACTGAGAGCACAAAGAGGTCATATAACTTGCATGTGGTCATACAGCTAGTAATTGTTGGAGCTGGAATCTTAATCATCTCATTATTTTCCTTCACCTCTACCCCAGTGTAATGCCTTACCTCAAATGTGACAATGGTTCTTTGTTTTGTTGCAATTTTATCTACTTATATAAAACACATGCAAAATGTTATTTTTTTGTGCATTGGTTTGCTTTTTATGTAATAGATTAATACTGTGTTATCTTGCAACTAGCTTTTCCCATTTAACCTTGTGTCTTTGACTTTTTCCATATCTTTATTTTTAAATTAATAATATATAAACGTATTTTCATGGTAAAAGAGCAAAATAATACACAGGTATAGAGAGAGTAAATCTTCTAACTTGCCTTTCCTGCCTGCTCTCTGACATCTCACCAAAAAAAAACCCCCAAAACCAAAACAAAACAAAATCCAATAAACAACCAACTGTCCACGGTTTGGTGAGTGTCCTTACAGTCTTCTTTTCATGCATTTTGTGTGAATAAATAAGTATATATATATTGTAGTATGCTATATGTATTTTTATATATTATAAATATATAATATATATTTATTATTTATTATTCAATATGTATGAATCCAGTTATATAAATATA